GTTTCCGGCACCTCTGATATCAATTTGTAATGAACTAAGTTATCTAAGCAACCAAACTACTCCGAAAGGCTAATAAGAAAAGAAGTTGAGGGAAACAAGCAGCTATTCATTCATTAAAAAGAGCAACTTTCTTACAATTGGAGGCTTGAGGCCACTACTCTCCTAAGTGTCTTAAGGACACCAATCTCTACACCTAATCATGACAATACTCAAGCTACCTAAGCAAGTTCGTGCTTCTCCTTCTAATATGTACATCATCAATCCTAGATAGGATAAGACAAAATTAGGAAGGCAACAGCCGTCACATCATGACATGCTGCTAGCACATTAGTCCTTTAGCTGCTCAATTCCTTGAGGTTGCTCCACTACCCGTTGCTTCTCCACTTCCCCTTCTCTTGGCATTGCATTCTGTCCTTTCTTCCCTCTTCTTGTGTATGTGATTAAGGCCTTTTGCTTGTTGTTCTTGCTGCCTAAGGTGTTCTTTATAGTCGTCCCATCCAGACTCGGGAATTGGTAATAGATGAAGTAACCCGACTAGTTGTAGTTGAGAGTGTTTGTCTAGTTAACTGATCGCACATTGCTTCATAGTTCACATGAGTGCTAATATCCTTCCTCTTCCCGATCCAATGTCATTTCGAAGCTATTCTCAAATAAGTCTTGCTCTTGCCTTGATGTCCACCCACCCTTTGAGCAACTTATAAATGAACTTAGACCATTTAGGAAGCACCACTCTGTAATAGCCTAATCTTGGGAGGAGCAATTTGGGAAGTCTAGTATGCTTAGGTTTATGGTCCTTAGCTTTAGTATAAATAGATAAAGGGGGGAAAGGTAAAGGCTGACATGAATTGGGTTATTGGAAATAGAGAGTGGCAACCTTAAGTTGCTAATAGGAGAGTTGTAGCCTTGTAGGCTAAACCTACTCCCTTTGTAAGCTTTCCGCCATTATCAATCAAATTATCAAGCCTTCTTTATTAAATCCTAGAATTCTTATAATATTTACAATTAGAAAATCAGTCTATAACAATTGGTATCAAAGTGGTGATCCTATGACTGCCGGAGTCGGAAACCACCTCGTTAGCCCCAAGGACATCTCATGAGACAAAGAGGGATTCAAACACCTTTTACACATAAGGAAGCTAAGAACTTTGGATCTCTGAAGGAGGAACAGAGAACTCGACACTCGACACTGCAACTTGAGGATTCCTTCCAATTTTTCGAGATAAATAAGAAGTCGAAGTTGAAGGTTGCCATCATTGGACTTGATGGCAAAGAGTTGCAGGGGTTCGAATGTTAACCCCGATAGCAATCATTTCGTGATTGGCAAGAATTAAAGACTTGGCGGGTTGTGGCTACCAAATAAGGAGAGTGAGAAATCTTAGAAAGTATTATAGTAGATTCGAGGGTGGCCTCCACCCCCTTGAACAGGCAGAGAAAGAAAAAGAGGAAGACGTGGTGGAGCGTAGGGGTTTCTTCCTGTGTTATGATGGTTCACACGGTGGTATCCCTAGTAGGCTAGGTAATGCTGTCGATAAAGCTGATGGTGAGGGTGCAGAACCGGTGGTGGCCAAGGTGGTAGTTATGGTGGAGGAAGCGGCCCTAGCCAAGGCAAGTCGGAAATTGACATTTCATCACTGATGGTCGCGAGAAAGAGTGGTGATTTCTCTGATGGTCGCGAGAAAGAGTGGATATGCTGGTGGAGGGTCACGGTGGAGTGGACGGCGAAGCTCGTGAAGGGTGGGTTGTTTTTTGGACCGTACAAAGGGCGGAGGTCGATGTGTTTGACGGTGGTGGGATAAAATATTTTATTGAGAAAGGCGGTGCTGGCTGTAGCATATGCGGCCCAGGTTTGCTAGCCGGAAAAGGTGAACATGGGTGTAAGATCACCATTAGTGGTGGCCTCAACAGGGACAGAAACGGCTTTTTGAAAGGAGGGTTTGGTGCGTGTGAGTCAGGTGGTGTTCCGGAGAAAAAGGTGGGGGATGGCGCATAAACTTCCATGGCAGATGCGGTGTTGGTCGTGGTGGCTTCATGCAGCAGAAGCGTGGAGATTTCGCTGGTGGTTTTACTGGTGGTGGGGGTTTGGTTGGAAGTTAAGCAAGAGGAAGGATTCAAGAGGAGAGGTTACGTGATTTCTTGAAGTGTGCATGGCAGAAGTTTGATTGGAATCTTCTTGGGCTTGTGGAGGAAGCCTATCCCCATCTTTCATCACATCAGATGCATAACCCCTTTGCCTTCGTACTCTGGTGTTCGGCCTTCATCAGTTGCCTTGGTTCGCCGGATTTTGTTGCGGTGTAGGGTGTCGGTTTTGAATTGCGATTCAGTTGGTGCTTTTGGCCATCCTTTGAAACTGGATGCTTGTTAGGTTGGGTGCCCATAAGTGCTAATTAGGCCCTGGTGGCTTAATCCTACCCACACCTATTATGGACTTGCCAGATCCATATAAGTTAGGTCCCTTTTTAAACCGGTTCTTTCTTCCACCCGACCTGTAACATCCATGGCTTGCTCCAAATTGTACGGATTCATCAATATGGTTGGTTTCTGGTATATCCTCCAAAGGGGCTGAAATATCAATAAACTTATTGCGATATTCGAGGACCATAGTCTCCTACCTTGTCGGTCGCTCACTACTCTTGGAGGCTCCGGCATGAGTCGGTCGGCTAGCGTAAAACCCTAGCTTTCAGACTATCCCATCCTTTCATTTCACCGCAAGTACCCATGTCGGACCCTCGACACTCGGACATGGGTATGACACTTGGACACTTCACTTTTGGTTCAAAACCATGGATTTTTTTCACAAAATAGCCAAGTCGAACGCTTGGACACATACCCGTGAGACGTGGTTACCTGAGTCCATGTAACATAGCATCCTTGTATCTGCCTCATTCGGTTTTCCCATTGAAACCACCGAAGCGACTCACCTTCCATGGCTACCATGGTGGCTTGAAGCTTTTTAGTAAGTTGTTAGTGTAGTGCTAGTGCTAGTGCTAGTGCTGAAAGTACTTATCAACTCGAAGAATCCACCCATCTGGATCGGTTCCCTCATTTCCAACTTTCGGGGTTTCCACCGGTACCCATTGCCACTTCTTTGCCCCGTTCGTACTAGCCCTGTTCTTCTAGCTTCGAAAAATTTCGCTTGGTTCGAGTTATTCAACGATACTTGCATATCGTGCTGCTCTCGAAATTGGTCAAGTCGGCGTTCTAACTTCTCTACCGCCTCCTCTAACAATTTCTTAAGAGACTACTCTTGGCTTTGAACCCTTCTTCCATCGTACCCAATCTCGTCTCTATCTCAGCCATCGTATCTCGTCTCTATCGCACCTCCGGGTCGTTAAAACCATTTTTGTTTTTCTTTTAATCGGGAAAAGTGGTGGTTTCTGGCGCCGGCAGTTGCAGGACCGCCGCTCTGATACCAATTTGTAATTAACTAGTAAAGCTAGACAACTAAATTACTCAAATAAGCAAGAAAATGAACAGATTTTGGGAAGCAGGCAGCTATTTTAATAATAAAGATCAAAACTTTCTTACAAGGAGGCTTCTCTGAGGTCACAACTCTCCAAACCCAAATGACTACAATATTCCAACTACCTAGCAAGTTCCTCCCTCCCCTTTCTTATATGTACATAAACAGCGAAAAGAAGATAATGACAAAAGGCCAAAAGGTTGCAGCTGTCATAATGTAATTTGTTGCTAGACCTTCACAGCAGCCCTGCCTTGGCTGCTCACCGATTTTGATACTGCTCCACTATTCCTTCCCGTAACGGTTCCTGCTGTCCTTTCTTACTCCTTGTGTATGTGATCAAGTCCTTCTGCTTGCTCAATGCATTCGTTACATATCTTCATGGTAGGCGGCCTAGATCCCAAAACATTACTCTTCCAGATTTTATCAAAGGTTTTCACTAATAGTATGGCCTCATGGCCATCATGGGAAGCAAAATCATAAGAAGGTGAGTTTTATTGGTGCTAGCGTGTTGAACCTTAGATTTGAAAGTCAAGCATGCTGAGATAATTTGCGTTGTTAGGAAGGAAATGAAAAGGGATATTATAATTGTTTGATTACACTTTCTCCATCAAATTGTATTATGATTTGAGCTATGTACGTGTAATCTATTGAATTGTTAATCGAAAATAATCTTACATGCTAAAATATTTGATCAAAAACCCAAGATATTTGAGGTAGAAACTAAGGAAGGAGCATGCCCTTCACCCTTTTAGATTTGAGATTTAAATGATGAAACATCTTTAGCTTTCTCTTAGTTGGATTTTAAGCTACAATGGCATCAATAAGGAGTTTCTATGATACACATCTTTTCTTAGCTGGGTTGGTAATGAAAGGCTGGATTTGAACACTGAAGGAATTCAGGACTGGGTGCGTAGCCTAAAATGGTTCATAATAATTTAAAAGGTTTGTCCAAGATGGGTCAAATTGCTGATTGGTCATCTGAGTATCTGAAATGCTTAGTGTGGAGACAATAGGCTAAATGATTTTTTATGTCGTATGCTGTATTGTTAAAGCTCTTTTTGTGCAAATTAGACCTTTTTTTTATTAGGAAAAATCAGGTTATATAGTGTTAATGAGGGTATAAGTTATTCTAATGTCACTTCTGTAAAATCAGTGAAAAATGATGTAACTGGAGTACTGGACTGTAATGAATTAGGAAAATATCAGGCCTTGAACTTGAAGAGTTCTTTCGCTGAAGATCTCAGTTTATTTTGTTTTCTTATTCTCGTTGGATTACTTTTGGTGTGAGATAATCAGTATGGTTCCTTTGAAGATGTTTTAAGTTTAGTTTATATCTTTCTTAAAGTTTAGTGGCTAGCAAGTTGGAAATTTTACTTTATAATAAACACACCAGAATACATGAACATTCCATCTCTAAATTGTGAGATATATTGGGAAATTTTGGGCTCAAAATCCCTCTCCCCCCTCCCTCCCTTGCGTCCAGAATTCTTTACTTGATTTCATGTGAGTTGCTTGAAAGTCGTTAATTCTTTTGTTACAGAGAAATTGTGGTTCAATTCAATGCTGATGTTGCTGATGGGATGCAGTGGAAATTTACTCCTACCCAAAGAGAGGTATCAATTTCTTTTAAGCCTGTACCTAAATTTGTGGTTGCAGTATACTTTAGCAACATGTAAACTTTTCACTAAATTGTACTTTAACTGCAGGTGCGGGTTAAACCAGGAGAAAGTGCTTTGGCATTTTATACTGCTGAAAATAAAAGTTCAACTCCTATTGTTGGTGTATCCACGTATAATGTTACACCCATGAAGGTAAGAGGTTCTGATAATGTTGCCTTTTCTTCGACTGAAATACCATTAATAATTGGCTATGAAAATCTCGGCATTTTGACATTATTCTCCACCAATTACAAGAACACCTGCTGGGTGTATTAGATCTTTGGCATCAACATATTTTAGATCCCAAAGTCCCAATTCCCAACAATTTTTTCAGGAAAAACAAAAACCAGTAAATGTACTCACTGAATGCATTTTAATAATTTGATATCTGTAATGAAATTCAAAAGCAACCAAATGCATTTTAATACTCCAAAATTATCCTCCATAAACTAAATCCTTGCAATTTTGAAAGACCTTTATCATTCTAGCTTAGGCTTTTAGTGAAATATACACTACAATTTCCCTCGTTCATTTGCAATCATAATTTTTCTATTTTATTTCCTTCATGAAATATATGGATCTGCTTTATAGGCGGCGGTCTACTTCAACAAAATACAATGCTTTTGCTTTGAGGAGCAGCGACTTCTTCCTGGAGAGCAGGTTGATATGCCTGTAAGCTGTAACAGTTCATGATTTCTTTTTAATTAATAAATGTATCATTGTTATATTTAATAAGAAATGCCAATTAAAACGTACAGGTCTTCTTTTATATTGATCCTGAATTCGAGACTGATCCTAGAATGGATGGCATCAACAATATTATCTTATCATATACATTTTTCAAGGTCTCTGAGGAGGCATAAAAGATAAATGAGATCCTGCTTGATTGCAAAGTTGCAGATCATTACTACTTTTCCTTCCCCGTCTTACGTACGGCTCCTCAAACTAAATTAGCCATCATCAGGTTATCGGGTGATTGCAAAGTTGCAGATAAATACGACTTTTCTACTCTAGCTAAGTATGGCTGCTTAAACCTGTTAGCCATTATATAATGGATGGCTGATTACATTTCTATAATAATTTTTTTCCTACTCTCATCCATACCCGCTTCATAAGCAGCTAGATTAGAAATTAAAGGCTTTCCTGCTCCGGCTAAGTGTGGCTGCGTAAATCTATTAGCCATTATAATGGCTGGTTGATTACATTTCTATAATAAGTTTTTTCCTACTCTCATCCATACCTGCTTCATAAGCAGCTAGAGTAGAAAATATAGTCAATTACATTTTCATGTAGCATCACATCATTTTTGCTACTGGCAGAAGATTTTGAAGTATATTCTGTTGTAGTCATTACTTATCGTATATGTTGTTATTGTTGTTATTGCCTCATAGAAATTATCTTTCGGGTTAGCCCACTTTTCTGGCAAAAACCTGCTTGCAATCCATCAGGCCAGGGAACTTCCACGGGCCCATGGCAAAGAAGGCCTGCTTGACTTCCTTCTTTGAAAAAGGCCTATTGAGCATGTTGGCCACGTCTTAAAGCATGATAATCCGGAATCCGTGGACAATTTCAAGCCAATAAGTCTCTGCAATGTGGTGTACAATATAATCTCAAATGCATCACAAACACACTCAGACGAGTTATTGGAGATTTGGTAGGACTTGATCTTGGAAAACATAGCACTCAATACTTAACAAGGGAGGGGGGAGGGGGGGGGGGGGGGTAAGGGCAAACTAGCTATCAAGGAAGATATGAGCAAGGCTTATGATCGATTCAAATGGTACTTTCTGGAAGCGAATCTGGAAAAATGAACTTCCCTCCATATTTTAGACATCTTATCATGGAATGCATCACAACGATCTTCCACACTAGGTTGATCAATGGGGAGCTCTTGTCGTTTTTCAGGCTGAGGTGTGGCCTCTGCCAAGGGAACCCTCTCTCCCCTTGTTCATTTTGATGTATGGAAGGGCTTTTGAGGCTCGTTCAAAACATGGAGTCCAAGAGTTTAATCAAGGGGTATAAAAGTGAGGAGTAGAAACGCGCTAGCAATCATTCACTTGCTCTTTGCGGAGGATTCCACTTTCTTTATCTATTCATTTACGGATTCGTGTGAAAATCTAAAATTGTGCCTAGATGTAAACTGTTGGGCCTCAAGTCAAATTATCAAGCAACATAAATAGTTGATGATCAACAACCCTAATACACCCTAATACACATTGTTAAATTATCAAGCGAGTGTCGTGACATGTTCAGTGAAATTATGGAAATGCCCTCATCTGCAGACTTTGGGATCTACTTGGGTTTGGCAAAGGGTTTAGGAACCTCAAAAAAAAGGAAACTTTCTATGATTGACAGGGCAACAAGCGGTTGGGATTCTAGAATTCTATGTTCCTGTCACTAGGAAGATTAACTCTCATTAACTCATTTTCATTAATTCATTTAACAATGTCCTATCCATTTAAAAAGTTCTCACTAGTATCCTAAACAAAATCAACTTGCAAGATTCTGGTGGATACAAAGAACTAAAAAATATGGTTATTTCATAAAATGCCACCGAGCAATTGCAAAATTCACCAAATGTCATGAATTTTTTCAAAATTCACCAAATGACACCGAGTTTTAAAAAAAATTCACCGAGAGCCATTAATGACTGACAGCCGTTAGTTGACCCCACCACTTGCCACGTGTCACTTTCTGATTGGTCCGTTTTAAAAAAAAAACAATAACAAAAAAAAAAACGGATTTTTCCTCGTATACCACTGAGTTAATGCATAATTCACCATATACCACACAAAACTTTCTAATACACCAAATACCACTGATTTAACATAAATGTCACAACATGTCATTTCCGTTAACTCAGTTAGTAATTAATGTTAATTGTGCCACGTGGCAGCTTGTAATTGGTTTTAATTAACATTATTTATTTAATTAATTAAATTTAGAAAAATTATTTTAAAAAATAAATAAAAATTAAACACCACCAATACAAGCCACCGCCACCCCTGCCGGCGACAATCCCGATCCCAGCCACTTCCTAGATGGCCGGCGACTTCCCTCCTCCCTCGCCGGCGACAACCCGGACCCTAGCCAGCACCTTATTCGAAAACCACAACCACGAAACAACCATGAAACCGCCACAAAACCGCCGCCTAACTTGCTGAAAGTACCACCCCCCACGAAACAGCAGTGGAAGAGGTAGCATGCGCAGTGGTCGCCGGCAGTGGAAGATCGAGGTAGCAGTGGTCGTCGTGCGGAAAGAGGTCAACACCAATTGATTATGCTAGATTTAACAACTGTTGTTGGTTATGCTTAATCAAAATTGGAAATTTGTAAAGCATAATTTTACCTAAGAAAACAGACACAAAAAGAATTCACCTAAATTCAACCAGTATAGTTACAAATTCACAGAGCTACACACAAAATCAGATGAAAAAGGAGGAAAAAAATCAAAACAAAGAGAAAGGAAAGTTGAAGAGAGAAACGAATAGAGAAGAGGGTTTTCATGGGAGATGCGGGCACGGCGGTTCAAGGGAAGGGGAGGAGCGCCAGCAGGGGGTTTTGGTCGGATTCCGGCCGGCGGGAGATGCAGATTGATTTTTGGGAAGATGGGTTGAGAGAAGTACATTTAGAGGATGGTGGTTCGGGAGGAGGACGGGAAGGGGAGATGGTAGGGGTACGGGGAGCTCTAGAGGGCCCGCGAGGGAGGAGGTTGGGCAAGGCCGCCTGCAAGGGAGGAGGTTGGGCAAGGCCGCCAGCGGGGAGGGGGAGTTGGGCTGGTGGTGTTGGGGTTGGTGGAGTGAGGAGGTGGTGGCTGTTTTTTTGTTTTTTTTAATTATTTATTTAAGTAATTAATTAGATAATATTAATAAGAGCCAATAAGTGACAGCCACGTGGCACAATTAACCTTAATTACTAACGGAGTTAACGGCAGACTAACGACAGTTACCAAAAAAAGGCATTTTGTGTTAATGTACATTAACTAAGTGGTATTTGGTGTATTAGAAATTTTCGTGTGGTATATGGTGAATTATGCATTAACTCAAGGGTATATGGTGAAAAATCCGAAAAAAAATTAAAAAAAAAGTAACAAAAAAATTAAAAAAAAAAGGAACTTAGAGGTGGCCAGCCACCACCTCCTCGCTGCCGTCGAGCCCCCTGCCCACCCCAAAACCCTAGCCACCACCACCCCTTTCCGCCAGGGCTAGCACCGGAAGGCGCGCCGGCCGCCGGTGACCCCTCCCCTATCCCGTCGCGATCCCCTAACCCGCAAAACCCCACCAACAATAATCCACAATCTAAAGCTGGTGGATTTCGCTGGTAAGATTTCGCGTTATGGTGGTGGTGGATTTCGCTAGTACGGTTTCGCGTTTTCGTGGTGGATTTCGCTGGTGGTGGAGGTTCAGGATTTCGTAGGTGGTTTCGCATTGTGGTTTTGGTAAAACGCCATTAAAACTCCATTGAAGCTCACGCATGAAAGCTTGAGGAACATCAATTTTTTGCCAAATTTTATTAAACTTGTACCAAAATGTTCATAATTCAACATACAATCAATTAGAGCAAACAATTTTGTGAATTGCTTCACCAAACAAAAAACCCCAATTCAATTTTTTATGGCTTCTTCACACAAATTGGTGGTGATTGGGGGGCGGGGTTTCGCGGGTAAGGGGGTCGCGACGGGATAGGGGAGGGGTTGCCGGCGACTGGCGCGCCTTCCAGTGCTAGCCCCAGCGGTAAGGGGTGGTGGCGACTAGGGTTTTGGGGTGGGCAGGGGGCTCGACGGCAGGGAGGAGGTGGTGGTTGGCCATCTCTGAGTTCCTTTTTTTTTTTATTTTTTTGTTGCTTTTTTAGTTTTTTTTTTTTTTATTTTTTGTTATTTATTTTTTTTAATTGTTTTTTAAAAAACGGACCAATCAGAAGGTGACAAGTGGCAAGTGGTGGGGTCAACTAATGGTCAACTAACGGCTGTCAGTCATTATTGGCACTCGATGAATTTTTTTAAAACTCGGTGGCATTTGGTGAATTTTGCAATTGCTTAGTGGCATTTCATGAAATAACCGTAAAAATATGGGTGTTCACTCGAATAACTGGAAAATTATCACAAGATCAATGAATAATGGAGGACTTGGCATAAGGGACGCGGAATGCTTCAATGAGACCTTACTTGCAAAACAAGGATGGAGAATCTTACAAGAGAAGTAGACAATCCTATCAAGAGTGTTAGGGGAGAAAAATAGAGTTAACGAGGAGGCTTTTTTTGACGATGAATGGATGAAGGGAAAAGGATGGACTTGGTGATGGAAGAGTATCCAATGGGTAGGAATGTCAGTGGGGCTGGTCAAGTAGGGGACTCACTCCATCCCCACCCTCGGTTTGGCGAGTGGTGGGGCGGAGATGGGGATAAAAACCATACCCGCCATGGGTGATGGGGCGAGGGTGGATTTTACATTGTACCCACCGCATCCCCGCTTCGCCCCACCCGCCCCGCTTCATTCCGGCCCCATCCCCACTCCATACCCATCCATATATTTGAAAAAAAAAAATTGTATACTTTTATACTATTTCATATAAAAAAATTTATGTAACATAAAGTAGTAAATATAATACATTGTAATATACTTGATTTGGGGATTTTTACCCCAGCCACGTGGACCAATGAGAGTGTGACACGTGTCACCCTAGGAGGAATCCAAATGGGCCTACCTGGATTTGACATGTGGCATACAAATACTCAAAGGGAATGACGGCTTTCAAGGCCCATTTCTCGAGAAGCCGGAAAAGCGGCGCAACCCACCAAATCTAGGTCAAGTGACCTACGTAAAGGCCCTATTCCCAATGCCCTATAAATAGGGACATTTACCCCATTTTGGGGACAACATTCATTTATTACTTAATCAATTCTCTCACATCAGAGAAGACACCTGATCTCGGGATCTGAGAAGATTTACTTACTTTTCGCATTTTACTCTCCGTACACGTATTAACTTGATCGTCCAAGGCGGAACATCGAACAACCAGAGCTTCCGTTTGTTGAAGGTACAACCGAGCGAGGGGCCAGTCTTGGTGACGTAATTGTCCTATTGGACATCTCCCAAAAAATCCGGAAACATTTGGCGTCGTCTATAGGGAGAGTACCTCTAAGATGGTTTCTCAAGAGACTGTACCGCCTCTTGTGGAAGAGCATCCGTCAGCCGAGGTCCATTCAGACCATAATACAGTGTCGGATCCAGAGGTCGAAGTATTTACGGCCGGAGATGGATCCTTCATCACAAGACGCATCCGTTCCAAGGATAACAACGACGATAACTAGGTAGGTCCGAGCAAGTCATCCGGCCAGCCTCAGATCACAAGACAGACTGCT